CTCGTCAGACACTCCAACCCCAACCCCGCGCTGTGAGCTAGGAGCGCTGCAGGAGGTAACGCACTGGAGGCGCACGCAAAAGCTTCTGGGTGTGATCGTGTCTGCACGACACATCAGTGAGCAATGACTGCTCTAGAATCCACAGGGCTGGCCTAGGGAGATGCCCTGCCTGACCTAAAATGCTGTCAGCAGCAACAAAACCCACCAGTGCCCCAAAACGCCCGCAAGCGCAGTGGTAAAACCAGCAGACCTTTCATCTGATAGTCAAAGGTTAGCTCTTCTCCAGCCTTGATGGTCCGTGTTGAAAACAGCGCTATTCGAGGAAGACGCAAGTCGAGGTTATCAATAAACACGTTGAAGACTTGAAGATTTGGATCACACTGTAAGGCAAAAATTAATGCGGTTTCTGTTAAGAAAAATGCACACAAAGTTTCACTGAAGTGTTTAAGTAAACCAAGGTCACCAGAAAGAAAGAACTGGTTCTTCTCTCAGTGACAGAAGTCTGAAATTAAGTTATCTTCTGAAATCAACACGTTACATTCTTGAAATAATGTTAAAGGAGAACACTCATAGCTTAAGAGTTGACTCCTTTCCAGAAGGCAACCGTTACACAGTACGCAGACTACACTAATACGCAACAGCCTAATAAAAAAGCCGTATGGTACCTTCTAAAGATGACAACAAAAAAAAGATGACAAACAAAGCAATTAAAGCTGCATTCAGAGGTTACTATTTACCTACAAAACCCACAAAAAGAATTAAAGTTGAAAGAAAATAAAAAACAACCTTGTGTTTCAAGCCACTCACTATTCTGTATTTAGGTTTAAGCATTGCTTCCAGGCCAGAAACGGTATTTCCATACTACGCATGAACTTCTGTTTTCAATTGCTAACCCGTCTGGCTGCTGAACTATCTGCTGTGGGCTGGATGGCAGGAGGAGGGCCAAGGACACCAAGCAGAAACTAGAGACCACTTCATCATTTTTTCTGGATTAAGTGTCAGAAGTCAGTATCACCGAGCCAGTTTGTTAAACTCTGCATGCTTTTTTGCTCTTTAACAGCAAAACATATCCCACACTGAAGAATCAGAAGTGAAGTCAGACATTCAAGTTTACACTGAAGAGTAAGAATACTTCACTCCCGTTTCCCAAAGCAAAGAGCAACGGGCCGTATCCAAACCTCTTCCTCATCCTTCTCCCTGCCAAGCCCACGTGAAATACAAACGTCATCAGCTCACGTATCTGAAGACATGGATTTACTGTATCTGCAGAACACTGCCTGCACAGCACTCACAAACACTACATCAGTAAGAAACAATAACTTTTAGTTCAGGAATCTTTACAAATACAGTTCAGGCATTGTAGGTACTTTCGGTACTTCAGTTGAACAGGAAATAAAACCCTACAAAAATTTCCTGTTTAAAATGTACATTTTAAACTGGCAAGTTTAGGATTAGGAGGGAAGAGGTATCTACAGGGGAGAAATAGCAAAGAAAATGTAGGAATTGTCATTTTTTCCTCTACCAATGTTTGAAGGATGAAATTTGGCATAACTCCCCATCCTGCCCTGCTACGAAATAATGCATCAATTCCTACCGTCTTTGACTCTTCACTAATTTTATTAAGTACTTCTCACGTGTTAGGTCTTTTAGTAACTTGGAAAAAAACACACCCAAAACAGCCCTATTCTGGTTGTCTAGAACCAGCAGATTCAGTGACAACCCCAGTTCTCCCAGATGCCCACTTCAGGCAGCATGTCATTCCCAGATTTTTGTAGGTAGTCCTACTCCAAGTACGGCTAAGTACTCTGTTCTATTTATTATGTCATCTGACTGGTCTGTGCTGGCATGGAACAAACTACTCCAGAAAAACTGTGAGTATTTTAAGAAAATGTTTACAGATATTTCTGGCACAATTAGGATAATTCTCCGAATTCTTAGTCTACAAAACAAGGTCTTACGCTGTGATTCACAAAGTGGGACACATTTCCATATCGAGCTGCATCTACTGTAAATTCATCTGAGTCATAGTCCAAATCAAACAAGTATGTATTGCCCTGGTTGTCATAGAGCTGGCCTCGTCTCTCTGCTTCCTCACTTGTAATCACCTAAAAAAAAAAAAAAAAAAAAAAGAGAAAAAAAGAAACCTGCATCATAGTATTAACTATTACTAAATTAAAACAAAAATCACCATCAACTTAGCAGAAAACATTACTTAGTAAAAAATACCACATTTGCTTTTTGATGTTGAAATAGCATTCCACCTCTAATGAACAAAGAACACATACATACAGCTACACTAATTAGTCAGTGACTGAGGCTCCTCTGGATGCAATTTGTCTACAGCTGATGCACGCACTACCTTGTCTTGGGGGAAAAAAAAAAACCCAAACATCAGCACCTTGCCGATGACAATCGACTGTTTCTACTTGAAGTTTTTATACACACCAGTTTTTCATGAGACCCAGAAAGCCTTGTTCACTTCCTGTAAAACAAAGTTTCAACTTTCTCCCTTTGCACAGACGAAGATCAACAGGTATCAGTCTTGACAATCCGGTCCCATTTACAGTCCAGCATTCATCTCCTCCCTCCCTAGAAGCAGCTCTTCCTGCCATTTTTGACTGCAATGAAAGATCCTATTCATGACAACTCAGACAGATACATTACCTCACAAAGCTGAATCTATGCAATTAGGCTACCATGGACTAACACCAGACAGAAATCCAGAAACTCCCTAAAGGAAGAGAAGAACTACAGTCGCTTTTGACAGAAGCAACAGCTTAAACAACTTCAACTGCAGCCTGCTACGTGAAACGTACTCTGTTGTGCAGACTCAGCAATCACAGTCTGGCAGCAAGACAGATACAAAGTGTGGTGCAACTGGACAAAAAACCCCTCTGAAATCTGACAGATCAGATTTGAGAACTTACTCAGCAGTAGGCAATAAGTAGATTCAGGTGAAAGGGTAAACATACTTTCCTTCAAGCACCAAAATTACATAATCGCCTTTCTGCGTTAACCCCTCAACAGAGATGTTTGGAGTGCCTGACCTCTTGTATGTTTACAAGAAAGGTACGAACACGAGAAGTGAGGAGATTTGGGGCAGGAAGCACGGAGGAAATACAATTAAGACCATAAACATTTGTACGAAGGGACAAAAGGAATTATTTTGAGTCAACTTAGCAGCAAGGCAGATTTGTGACAGAAATACAACAGACTGGACGAGAGGCGCTGCCAGGAGCTACCGATGTGAAGAGCCCCGAAGCAGAGCAGAGGCTGAACCAGATAAACACAGGGCAACACAAAATCTCAGGAGTAACTCGAGGTCTGCATTTTGTAACATGAAAGATCTGTTTGAAATAATATGAGAGTGAGTAAACAGACGATGTCCATACTACAAGCCTTATTCTTGCTGTGAATCAAAAGCAATAAATAGGTTTGGAAATGCTACCTTAAAAGTTCAGACAAAACAGAAAAGGCACGGACAGACTGGGCGGGGAGTTTGGCAACAACTGTGCCTGGGGAACAGAAAAAAACCCTTTAATAAAGATAACAAAGGGAAGCATGAAGACTATGACTGCCATAAAATAAGGACTTGCCTTTAGAAATACTATTCGGGCACATATCTAAAATAATTATTTAGTGATATAGGGGATAAGTATCCTCTTTACATTCAACCTTTTACAATTGCTCTGGAATGGTGGAATGTTCTGGGCAATATAATTTTACTGTCACCTTGAATGTCTATTTACTGTATTTCTCTACCCAAAACCAGACCTATCTATTACACAGTAGAAGTCAAGAAGTATTAGAATCGAGAGAAAGCTCATCAAGATTTTCTCCCAACATTTCCTTTATGGTAAATAGTTCATCTATATGAGATAAATACGTACCTCTCCAACATACTCCATCACAAAACTGTTGGTTTTAATTTTCTGGAGGGTTTTTACTCCCCAGCCACGGCCATTGTTAGTTCTGAAGATGCAAAGAGAATACGGTGTACCTTTCTGTACTATTCTGTTAGGGCAGTCAGGCCCACACCTACAAAACGAATTGCATTCATAGATGGGCAAGCCGGGCTGGATTTTCAACTTCTTCCGTTTATTGTAAGCCAAAATAAATCCAGCTTCCTTCGGACAGCACTTCTCAGCGGGGCAGTCAGCACATTCACAGCCAGTCGTTATTCCATTTAGTACATTTATTCCCGGAGCAGGTTTATACTCATTAATGTAGTAGAAGTCTAAAGGAGGGCCTTCAAGATCCACAGTGTTTTCTACCAGAATCATTGCCTTATGATTCTTTTTCCTGTTGAGTTCTTCTTTCCATCTCCGCAGAGCTATTCTTTGCTTAGCCTTCTTTACAATGTAATCTGCAACCGCAGGTTTCAAAGCTTTGACATGGTTTCTCACTTTCAGGGCTTTGCCTTCTCTCACCCGAGATAAGTATTCGTTCTTGTCACTAAGAAAGTTTTGAAGAAGCAATGGGCAATTCAGATTTTTCTGAGGTTCCCAAGTATTTGAAGATTCCGGCCAGCCTTTCCATTTCACAAGATAGTATTCTGTGCCCTTGAAATACAGAAACAGATACAGATTTAGCCACATTCCACTTTGCTGAAATCCAGCATCACAGAGCACGCAGACAAACACAAAAGCTCTAGAGTTAAGAAATGGCATACAGTGCAGAAGGTCTTGATGCCCCCATAACAATTAGAACTGAGGAGAAAGAGAAAAAGCAAGTTTTCTGTTTGCAAATTAACTTAGAGCACAACTTCGGATACTTTACGTATCATTTCTAGGGGCAAAGAAATAAACAGTTGGGATGAACTCTGATTGCTAACAGTATACCTGGAGGAGGCTAGTTTGTTAAGACAGTTAGGCAAGTATGCTAACTAGTTGTATGACTTGTATGCACAAGCAGAATGCAGTCGCATCACATACAGAATGCCAAAAAAAAAATTCTAAACTTAGCAGAAAACCCCCTTTAAAATACACTATTTGTCATATCAACCATCCTCCCAAAAGTGCAATCCATTCAAAACATGTAATACTCTATTTCTAACCAAGAAGCATACATTTTGTACTTATTTTTAAAAGGCCAAATAGTTATAACAAGGCCAAATCCTGAGACTGAATTTCACTGGCACGATCAAGCCGTAGGAATCCAGTTGCAGCACATGGCCCCCACTCTTCATCAAAGAGACTACAACAGTCAAGAGAGAAATATAGACTGTTACCTGCAAATAAAGGAGAAGCATCGTGATACATACCAAGCCACGACCTAAACGCATCAGAATTGTGCTTAACTTCTAGATACATTTCATAGTCTATCGTCTCCGTCATTTCAGGAAGAGACCTTCCTTCAACGTACCAAAAGCAGTGGTTATACTACTTTCTGTTTACAGTTCAAAGTTTAAAAAGATATTTCATTCGGCGTCAACAAGAGCTTTGTCCTCACAGCCTGCTACTTTATATTATGAACAAAACTACCTTTGGCTCACTTCCAAATTTCAGTTGAAAGAGTGATCAAATTCATCTGCGTTTCTCTTACCTCTTCTACCTTGTAGTCACACAAATATTCCACCTCATAACTCTTTAGATTCCCGTTGGTGATTCCAATGGATTTACATCTGAGATTTTCCTTCCTACATAATTCTTGGAGGGTCTCAAGTGAAGCTAGACATGGCACATACCAAGCTACAATAAGAAAATTGGTAAAGAATCCTATTTAATGTCTCGGCTAAATTGAAATCATTACGCCTTATCCCAGAGTCCCCATATTAGCATTTGTGATAGCAGTCCAGGAGTCTTGTACAACTACGGCGTCTCACAGAGTCAAACTCAACCCTTCCTTCACTGGTGAAGTGAAACATGTCAATGATTCCCTCCCTGCACTTTTTTTCTGTACCGTACGTGCATTTATAAAGAACAACAAGTATTTTGGAGGGCAGACACTTCCACAGGTGAAAACTGCACTAAGAACCGAATCATTTTGCTACAATTACAGCATCCCATAACTTAACTACGGCGACAAGGAAACCTGCATTCTTTAATAAGGCCGCCAAATATCTGCAGTTAGTCAAGTGCAATCGAGCACTTGCGATGCAACCATGGTGACTGGACGAGGAAAGAAAGATCCACAGCGCTCTTCCAGAAGGATCGCGGGTGCCTCGTCAGCTAGGCGGGTTTAAAGGGACGCGATACTCCGCAGGGCGGCACGGCAGGAGTGCCGGCTCCTTGCCAGAGCCCGGGAAACGCCGGTGGGGCGGGGAAAAAGGGGGGCGTGGGGCGAAGTTTAGAGCCGCAACCGCGCGTTGCGAAGCGGCGAGGGCCG